ATATATATATATATATATATATATATATATATATTTGGATGAATGGATGTATATGTAAAACGTTTAATCTCATACACATATTTTAGTTATTTTGTGAGGGAGAGTACAATTATGAGCTTATTTTACACTCTACTAATTATCTAGAAACTTGGTTCTAAAAATGTTAAATGACTTAAGCAGATATTATTACAGAATTATCTCTGTGAAATAATAATTTCTTGCTCATCATTTCAGTTAAATAATTGATAAGCTTCCACATGATAAGTGTAGAATTATTACATAGATATTTTTAAATATCTATTTATAATCTGCAATAAGTTTATTTTCTACTAATTGGTTCTAAAAATATCTTAAATGTCTTAAACACACATTTTTACAGAATTATCTCATTAAAATGTGTTAGATTCATGAAGCTGATGTTGGCCCAAATTGCAATGCTATTTTTACTGAAATTTATTTATTATATATATTTACTGAATAAAACTAGAGAGTAATTTCTTATAGTCCTACGATAGAGTAATATTTTGGGGGCTTTAGTCCAAGTAATCTGGCAAATATAATAAATGGATAATGTTTTTAGCACAAGTTGCTTGGAGTTAAAATCAGCATACCTTTCACATTTCACTGTATTTTTTATTACAATAATTTTTTTTGTTTATTTAATTAATTCCAAGAAAGGCAATAATGCCAGTAAAACACAAGGGGCTAAGTGGGAGTGAAAGAGAATGAGAAGACTTCAGGAGGAACTGGAAACCCAATCCTGAACAGGAAACAAGGGATAAACATCTACTCCTGTTCAAAAGACCAGGGAGGAGCATGAATCGGACAATAGGCAAACCTATCTACTCCTATTAAATATTATATTTAGTGGGTACATATGTTTGAGCTATTTTAAACAATGAAATTAATGCCAAACAGTCTAGAGATCAAAAAGTCAAACTATAGAAAAAATGTATCAGGGTAACAGTGTTTTAAGAAGAAATGTTGGATTAAAAGGAAAATACTAATTGCTTAAAAATTACTTCACTAAAGACAAGGGCTAGTTCTCAAGTGCATACAACATAAAATGCTTTGTATGCATCAATATAATTGCAGAAACTAATTTTGATATGGCTAATTCTAATATGGCTATACTAAATAAAAATTAATGTCTTAAAAGAAAAACTTTAAAATAATAAACACCTTTTCTCAATATGGTGAATTTCTAACCATAGCTTACATATGGCACAAGGTCGAAAGTATGGGGTACCCAGTGAGGATCAAACTTACTATAAAGTCATAAGTGATCTAATGAAACAAGCTTGCTAACTATTACATCATGTTGAAATGCCCAAAATGATTTTCTAAGCATAGCTTAGATATGGCACAAGGCTGAAAGTATGGAGCACCCAGTGAGGATCAAATTCACGAGACAGTTGTAAGTGATTTAGCGAGACAAGCTTGCTAACCATTACACTTTGTTGAAGTGTCCAAAATGATTTTATAAGTTGGGCTTAGATGTGGCACAAGGCCAAAAGTGTGGAGCACCCAGTAAGGATTGAACTCACTAATCAGTTATCATTGTTCTAGTGAGACAAGCTTGCTAACCATGACCCCACATCATGGTGCCCACACCTTTTCTCAATATGAAGGAAACATTAAATTTTAAAAAGTAACCCCATGATTCTTCTTATATGTCTCTTTAAAGAAATTCTAGTATTGGTTAAATCCAGTTCCTTGTATCTACAAAGTGCAACAGAAATACCTTCCACATAACGGTAAGACACTAGTGGCAACCGTGTCTTCATCTAGGTAACATCTTGCCATTATGTGGGAGGTATTTCTGCTTTAGCCTGTATTTTACAAGGAAATTTTGAAGAATGACTGTAATATTTATTTAAGTCAGTGATATCTATTTAATAGGCAAGGTAACAAATGTGTTGATATTTGATATACCTAGATATTAGCTTAGCTTATCTCATTCAGCGTGTTGCGCTTTTATTTTTATCATTATTGTTTTAAATTATCCCTGATTGTATTAGTGCTAATTTTGTAAAGGAAAGGGAGTTATGTTGTGATCCTGAATGTAAATTTACTACAGACAATTCAGAAATTAGAGTACTTTCAATACATTTTCACTTTAATAACTTATTTTGTCTTAATCAAAACCACTAAACCCATGGACTAATTCAGTCATGTATTTTGTTTAAAAAACATGGGTTTCTCTAACCTAACATTTCAATGTAAACCGTAACTGCTGTATGTATATGCCCCCACCATCTTTTTAAATATAAGATGAATTTCATGAATAAAACTATTGTCTTAAGAAGTTCTTTCTTGGAATGAAACTTTGTCACTATTTTCCATTGTCATTCATTTATCCCAGAGTAAAATTGAATAAGAATTCAACAGCATTAGAAGTACATACAAAAATTTTGACATGCTTAACTGACGTTCCATCATCATCAGAAAAAGAATTTTATTGCACAAGAACAAAATTTTGTTCAATAAAATTCTTTTTCTGATGATGCCAACTCATTAGCAAAATATATCAAGGTAAAAAAAAAAAAATATTCCAAATTGCCTTTTATACATAAAATTTTATATAACAGTCAACAAAACTTATTACAAGTGTAGCAGCAACATGTTGAAGTGCATATAACAAACATTTACTATCATTTTGCATGCTACAAATTTCCAATCAGCTCCCTTATCTTGGGACACTTGTTTCGCAAAATTTCCATAGCCACAATGAATAAATTTTATAATATTGAAATAATTATAATAGAGCATATTCACACGTGTTTTTTTGAAAATCACCATCACAACGAAATACCGATTTTATCACAGTTAACAATAAGTTTGTCTTTCTAATTTAGCTGTGAGCATGACCTTGGAGGAGATCAAAAGTACTTGGGTAGAAAAAACCTATGGTGGCTTCCTTGGTGAAAAAATTATAGCACTTTCCATCTTAAATAATATATAACATAATAAGTCTATACTATTCAATGAAGCCTATTTGAATGAAGATATGCTGCCTATATATATATATATATATATAAAACTTTAGATAAAATATATCTGTAAAAGGACAATATGAATAAAGACAAAAGGAAAACTTAGCTGACACGTTACATCCTCTGATAGACTTTATCAAGACAAATACATAACCTCCTGTTATTTAAAATATATAACACATGAATTATTCCCAAACTAAAATAATTTAAATACTAATTCACATTAAAAAAATAATTATAAAAAATGTCAGCATCATTTGCTCACTTTTGTTTATAAGTTTTCCTTTTGTCTTTATTCATATATATATATATGGCCAGATGATTGCATTTAGCATGAAACAGACTGTCGTCTATGGATGTTAACTTCAATATCCACTTTTGTATTTACATACACTCTACTGCTGATGTTGAGCACTTTAACCCCTAAATATAGCATACCTTAAAACTATATATATATATATATATATATATATATATATATATATATATATCTAATTACCATTTTTCTTAACCAGTGTGAATTACATCTACCAGCCTGTGTATTTAAGTGACTTAATAATGAAAATGTGCTTTCTCTCAGGATGCAAATCTATATCTCCACTTGAGTCTCTCAAAAGTGCAGGTCAGTAGACGTAATTCACACTGGTCCCTTAGAAATTGCTATACACATGCACACATTTATATAAAGACATTTCTAAAGAATTAATGGATCTTATTTTTTAATCTGACATTTCTATTATTTCAAACTTTTTTGTGGATACCCATATTTGAGTAGACATTCTGTTTTTTAATATATATGCAAACACACAGTGTGAACAAAATGTTGAATTATTTTATAGACAGTTATATTTTAATCACAAGCAGCTTTCTTATACATTTTATTTCTTTTTTATGTATTTTTGGTACTTTTCAGTTATACGACTTCATATAATGCAAGTGAGGAGTTGTGTAATTTTAAACGACTACATAGATAATAATTTGTGTTAATAATAAATATTAAAATTTTAATTACTAGAATTTTTTCGCAACACATTGATGCATGTTAAAATCCTCACAATATTTAGTATTGTTGAAGTTATCGCTAACATTTTTTGTTGAGATTTACAAACTCTACATTTCATTCAATTTTGCAAACCAATCAATGAAATTTGAAAAAGCTAATTTGTTTAGAAAAAAATTTTGACAAAAACATTATTTTGTGTTTTTTATAAAGTAAAATCAACAGTACTTTGTACCTGCTTCCTTGTTTGCACTTCTTTCCCAAATTTGTTTTTGATCAGTGTATGGCTATTTTAGCATGATGTGATGGACTAACAGTAGTCATAGAATTTTATAGATAGATAGATAGATAGATTCTATACTAACAGCTACAATCTTCCCAGGGGCATTTTTCTACAGCTGGCTTTTATAGGTTCAGAGTTTGTCTATAACATGTATAACTGAAAAGTGGCATTTTTTATTAATTTGGTAATTTTTTGTTTTATAGTATTACAGTAAAAGTGACTTTTAGGCCAACCTGAATATGAGCAAAGGAATGACAAAATGGAAAACTTATCAATGACAGATTTTTTTTTCCAAGGACTTCTCTAATGTGACACTAAGTTTTTCCATTCTGTTATTTGTCTGTTCTCTATTAATCTTATTATATATATATATATATATATATAAAGACAAATGTTATTAAAGATGACTAACAATTTCTGTTAATTTTATTGATCAACTTTTCCAACTTTGAAAAATTTGATGGAATTTCCTCCTTATCTGAGAAAGATTATTCATAATTTTAAAAAGTTGATCAAAATCAACATAAAACATGTCACCTAAAACATGTAACATGTTTCCTACACACGTGTGTGTGTGCATGTATAGTTACATTTCCCTGAATAATTCTGAATACAAATTGGTTTAAAAATGACAATTGGAAAATATATTTTATATATATATATATATATATATATATATATATATATATATATATATATATATATATATATATATATATAAAAACACTAATTCCCATACGATCACTGAAGTTAAGCAACATCAAGCTGAGTCAGTACCTGGAAGGGTGACCACTTGGGAATACCAAGTATTGTAAGCCTGGGTGTGCAGGTGGTGTAATAGATAATGGTTCAAAATTGTTAATTGGAGAGCCAAGTTCCAATTCCTGTTGGGTTCATTATGTTCACTTACATGTAAATACCCTTGGAAAAAGTATGAATACATCTCTCTGCCCCCCCCCACAGCGACAAGTTAATTGTATCACTAAAATCATTATCATCTCCCAAAATAAATAAAATTGCATATAAAATATTTATATTTTGCTATTAAATAAATCAATAGAGGTCAATATGTCACTAAATAAAAATGACCAACCAAATCCCATCTATTCTATTGTATTCTTTGTGAAGAAACTAAATTTTTAAGTAAAACATTGCAGTGATAATCTTAAAAAGTCTGATCCTTAAATCTAAATAATTGTTTGTTTTGTCTTGAGAAAAAAATGACATGTTGAAAGTCATTGAAAAATTTAGATGCTGAGACAGGGAGAAATTATTTTTGCTTATATCCCAACATTAATATAATTCATAGTAGGTTATAAGCGTAACTAGATAAAGTATTTTCTCAGAAAACTCTTTCCAGAAAACTCTACAGAATTACGCAACACACTTTAGTCATTTTTCATAGGCCAATTAAAAAGGCTTGAAAAACATGAAGGCCTTTCGGTAACAAGATATTTAATAGTAAACATTAATAGGATATGAGAAATTGAAAGCAATTTGACACAGTTTGATGCTGGTTTGTAAAATCAGCAACTCTTTCCTACAGTTGGAAATAAAATTTTAAATATTTTAGCTTTTATGTAGCATGCCTTGTCCCTGTTAATCTGTGTTTCCTCCTTTGAGCATAGTAGGGTCAGGGACACGCCCTAATATCTGCTGTAAAACTTAGTGAAATTGGGTTATTTTTGCAACCACCCACGTATGTACAGTATGTACATGTTCCTTGTACATAGAAAAGTAATTGTAAAAATGCTACTTCAACTCTCAAGCAAGAATATAAAAATGGTGTCCAATTCTGTTTTGTTTTTTGTTTTTTTGGCTATTAATTTAAATTTTGAACTTTGTCATCACTAGATTGTTATTTTGCAGGAATTTTTTAAAAGGAATTTTTCTTTTTTTTTTAAATTTACTACACCTTTTGGGGAAGAATAACAATTCTTTTTTATTTCATTTTAAACAATCTCATCACATTTCTCAAAAGCATACAAGCTACACAAAATATCTTTGGTCTACTTTCATAAGAAAAAATAAAAATTGGCGACACAAAAAAAAAAAAAATGAAAATGTCAATTTTTTTTTTTTTTCATAAGGGTTTTTTTTTTTGTTTAAGCTCTTTTATCAGGTGCAGTTTTTAAATTGTACACATGACAAAACCTGCCGAATGGATTAGCCAAAACATTGTTATAAGATCAGCAAAAAGAAAGGGTTCCCTTGCTCAAAACAAAATTTGGAATGTTAACACCTTTCAAAGTTATTGACAATGAACTGACTTTGTGTCAGGCTACTATTTTGAATAAGAACAAACACAACCGTAGTGGTCAGGGTGCAGAGAAAATTAAAAATATTTTAGTTAATTCCACATGCTGACCCTTCTAAGATTAATGTATGGGGCACCCAGTGAGGATCAAACTCACTACTCAATAGTCAACCTGACTAATCACTACCCAATGCTGAGAAACCTCAAGATATATTTGACATTCAAATTCTAATGCACTCTCTTATTAACTTAAATATTATAACAGATCTTTACTATCATTATCATGGTGTCCTTTAAATCAATTTGAAGTGACATTCTCCTGTTGCTACTAGCTGTTGTTGTTGTTGTTGTTGTTTTTTTTTTTTATCAAATGAAGCTTTATAGGCCCACGGCAGAATAAGTTGTGATTTCATTATTGTCTTCAGCAGATTTAATTTTGGTAATGGTTGATTACTGAATAGAGAAGTCTAGTCTGAAATATACTTATACAAAGCATCTATTCAATACTGTAATTGAACAGTTTTTTGTCGATGTGACATACAGCCTGAAAATAAGAGGATTAATCAATTAAGGCGTGGTTCCAAAATAGGAAAGGAATGTGGTGAAAACTAAAAGGTACTTAAAAAGAGAAAAAAAAATGTAATACCTCTACAATTTTATGGTATGCTAAACTGAAATATTAGAAATTATCCCATTTTAATGCAATGTATATTTTAGGTTTAAAATATTCAGTATATATTTTAAAAGGTGCTGACTTAAAAGCATGAATAAACAAGGACATTAAATCATTTGCTCTTCCTGTATTTTTAGGTATAAATTCCTAAAAATTACATTTACTCTCATTAGTTTCACAATTAGAATTAAAAGGTTTGCAATCTTCAATGTACAAATGAAACCGAGTTGTTGCCTACTTAATTTACATAATTCAAATTTATCCTAATTTACTCATAAGTTATTTACGAAGCATAGATTAGTTTTAACACAAAGCTACAAGTATAAAACACCTAGTGAGGATTGAACTCACAACTTATGATTTGTAAGTCCAGCATACTGACCATTACACTCTGATCAGGCACCTACAAACATTCGTAAGTTGTCAGAAATTGGAATTTGTGTTGCAGTTAGTATAAAAAAATGAACACAAAACTTAAGGTTATAAAATCCAAACATTAAGCTTAAAACAGGATTCACAAACATGTGGTAATGAAATGTATTCCTTACATAAATTTAAATTAGATTAAAAACAAAGACATGACTGAGCCTACTATTATGCAAAATAACTTATAGCATAAGTAATCTTTTATGTTGATATCAGCTATGCATCTATTCAAGGCTAGTGCAGTTGAGTCTTGTAAGAGATGGTTTAGCAATTGTAATATTGAATCAAGTGAATTTTATAAGGAGCTTCACCATCCTGATCTAAACAAGCCTAAGGTTAAAAAAAAAAAAAAAAAAAAAAAAAAAAAAAAAAAAAAAGAATTTAAGCAAAAAGTAGATATAAAGAGTTTTAATTGATTGACTGATTTTAATACATTATATGTAATAAAGCCTTTGATTCAATATTTTCATAAAGACATTTTTTTGGTATGTGGTTACAGTTATTGGAATTATAGTGCAGAAATATAATGCACAAAGTAATTTTTTAAAATTCTTGATATTACAAAAGTATCACTATGCTTTAAGAATTTGAAATATGTCATAAAAATAAAATAAATAAATAAGAGTGTAAAGGCAAGATTAGTGGCCAAATAAAGGTCCTAAGAAAAAAAAAAGTACAAAAACGTTATTTACATCAGCCACTTCATGCAAGTCATTTGGGCTATCTAATTAATAAATAATTCTATTTCTTTATAGTCCAAACATTTATAATTTACTTTTTAATTTATTTCCTTCTGATTTTTTTTTTTTCAGTGTTAAGTTGCATGAGATGATTCAGAAGTCCTTTTTTGCACTATGGAAAAAGCCACTGACCTACTTTTAAAATCATTTCAAATGCATCAAAACCAAAAAGATTTTTTTTTTGCAAGATTTAAAGATAAAAATAAAAAAAAATGATACCCAACTACAAACTGATAAGGCAGTTAATAACTAAATCTAACCCAACAGCTGCTGATCCATTCCTACTTAAATATGCAAACACATTTAATGCTTGAATAAGTTACTCAAATATCAGTCAACCGATACTACCCTGATTAATCAATATTTCATGAATGCTTGGAGCAATTTTATTACGCCTGCCTCTATGTAAAAGTGGCAAAGCCCAAAACAAAAATGACATGCACATTAATACTTGATAAATGACTCTTTTGCAAAGTCAAAAACATTTGATACATCCTCCCCACCGAGAAAAACGACCAGTATTATCAAAATATTTAAGTAAAAGCTTCTAGTCTTTTTTCAGAATGTCATTTTGAGATTTCTCAAATGTTGTATAGTCATACAAATTAAAAAATGAAACTGGGAATAAGGTGTTTAACCACTTTAACGTTTAGTTTATGACCCACCTTTTATCAATTCTACAGCTATAAGCTTCTGTACTTTCAGTTTTATTTCTGGTCAAAAAGATTTTTTTATGTTTTCTTTTCTACAAAATGCTCAGGTTGGTAATTAAAAATAAATCAAGGTTTATTTCATATTGGCGATGTCTTAGAATTTATGTATCCTATAGATCTCTTACGGTTCTACACTAAGCAGAAGCATACCCTAAAATCTTGTTTGGTAAAACAATGAAAATTTAATGTTTTATTAACCTTTTAGGAAGACCAGATACCTGAAAAATTGGGATCTAATCAAATTTTTTAAATGCTAAAAAAAAAAAAAAAAAAATCACAACACACACCACACACACCCCTTCAAATTATGATGGGGACTGGGGCTAAAGCAAAAGAAAAAATCCAGTTTCAGCATCACCATTACACTTAAAAGGATAGTATCAAGTTCATTCCTGATGTCAGAGGCATTCCATTAAGGGAAGTGTCAAGGGAACTGAACTTTTTAGAAGTGCATCATGTATAAATGTTGGTTGGGGAGTAGCCATTTTAATCTCAAACCTTGTGCCACAGATTTCCATGAGGGTGAGATAGATAAATACCCCTTGCTAATATATGAAAATATATTTTTCAAGCTGAAAAACTAGATACATTATACATTAGAAAAAAAATCTTCCAAAGTACTAGCTACAAACTAAGTATATTTACTTTGGCAAAAATATTGGGCAAAATAACCAACATATGTAAGTTAAGTATCTAAATTTAACAAGGTTGATCGAATTAGGGGGAAATTCAAATTAGTCATGGAAGGCTTTGTCTGTATTCAAACAAGATTTTTCATCCTAAACAAGTTTTATAAATTTGCTGATGTAAAATTGATATTAAGAGCTGGTTTAATCTTTTTGACTCTTCACGATTCTCCTGATGATGTGCAAGCCAAGAAAGGATGGTAAAAGGTGTGTAGAAATTGATACTTACTCTCATTGGCTAGTGTTGTGAAAATAAACAAACAGCACAAATTCCCTTTGAGGGCATACGAAAAATCGTATTTAGAAGAACCAACAAAGATAC